GCAACCCATAAAAACTAGATTATCTGAAACTGCCCAGGGGACCTTTTCAGCTATCACTCCCAGACTTTGGAATGGCCTGCTAGATGAGATCTGTCACGTGACCACCTTAAACAGCTTTAAAAAATTTCTGTTAAGATGGATCTCTCCCACAGGCCTTTCCTGAGTTAAGTAACCAGACACCAAAAATAGTTATGCCTGTCCCTGATTTCTGCTGTAGCTATCTCAAATTATTTGTGATTTTTAATTTTTAAGCATGGGTCTTTGCAGACTGCCAGAAATAGTGCACATTAAATTGAGGCACTGCCCTGGCTCAGTGCTAGGGAATCATGGGAATTGTATTTTTTTCTGAGACATTGAGCCTTCTCTGTCAGAGAGCTCTGGTGCCACAATAAATTACAGTTCCCATGATTCCCTAGCACTGAGCCAGGGTAGTTAAAGTGGACTCAGTTTGCACTATTTCTGGCAGTCTGCAAAGGCCCCAAGTTTTTATATTTTGTCTCTTTAATTGTATTTTAAGGGGGTGGGCTACTGGGGAATGGGATTGTTTGCTTTATCTTGTAAGCCACCTCAGTTGTATTTTACAGACAGGCGGGATATTTATTATTATTATTATTATTATTATTATTATTATTATTATTATGTTAACCAGGATGCACTGTGTTGGCAACCTGTGGAAGCTCCCTGTCCTCTTCCAAGCCAAGTAATAATTGGTAATGGGAAAGTCCCAGTCTAATAGGACGTGGCCCACTACTGTACTGACGCACCCTAAATCCGGTCCACCATTCTGTGCCTTGGTTGCAATGTGCTGGGAGTTGCTGTCACTCTATGTCCCAGTCTGTTGTAGACCAGAAGTGGACACAGTACAATCTTTGGGCCACATGTAGCCTCAAAGTCCTCCGTCCCATCTCAATGCTCCTCCATTTTTTAAAAAACTGGCACCATGGTCCATTGCAACTAGATGGGATAGTCAATATCATATATACAATTACTGTAATAATAATCAAGTACAAACAAGTAACTCAGTGTTAACTCACAGACATTCCTGGGTGTTTTGAACTACAATACCCACAATCCCTTACACTAGTTACTAAATTGCTGGGGATTCTGGCAGTTCAAGCCCAAAATTTCTAGAGGACCAAAAGTTGCAGACCAACAAAATTTGAAACCTGTTTACTCAGATTTTGAAGAGAGTCCAAGTTCAATTAGCTCCTTTCACAAAGGTCCAAAACACACAGCAGAAATGATCCAGTTTGAGATTGCTTTAACTGCCCTGGCTCAATGCTAGGGAATTCTGGGAACTGTAGTTTTGTCAGACACAGCCTTCTCTGGTGCCACAATAAACTATAATTCCCTAGGACTGAGCCAGGGCAGTTAATGTGGCCTCAAGCTGAATTATTTCTGCAGTGTCTTTTGGACCTATATCTCTGGAGATCAGACCTTGCTGATCCATGAAAACCCACTGGGTGACCTTGGGCCAGTCACACACTCTCAGCCCCCAAAACCCCTATGACAAGGGTTCACCGCAGAGGTGCCATAAATCAGGGATGACTTGAAGGCAGACAAGAAGAAGAATGGTACCAGACTCCGCTGATTATTTGGAATTATAAATAGCCATAATGGGAAAGATATCCATTCTGTCATTGCTGTGTGCCTTCAGGTTGTTTCCGACTTATGGCGACCCTAAGCTGAACCTATCATGGGGTTTCCTTGGCAGGATTTGTACAGAGGAGGTTTGTCATTGCCTTCCCCTGAGGCTGAGAGAGTGTGACTCCACCAACGTTCTCCAGTGGGTCGCCATGGTCGAGCTGGGAGTGGAACCCTGGACTCTAGAGCCATAGTCCAACACTCAAACCACTACGCCACACTAGTTTGAGGCTTGGGTTATGATTCTGGAGAACAGAGGGGGGTTGCAGACTGCCAGAAATAGTGCAAATTGAGTCC